TAATCACAGGTTCCGGTGGCATCTGTAATTCAGGAAATTTTTCTTTGTACAATTGAGTTCTTAGAGGAGCTTAAAAAATATTTTTTTTACATTACTAATTAAATCATTTATTAAAGGAAAGTTAGATCTAATTTCTTCTGTAACTCTGTTAAGGCTATGAGACAAACATGTAACATGGATTAAGTTTTCATAGAACATTTTTAAATTTTGTGCGGCTTTTACCATGTACGGGGCAGCATCGGATAACAGCAATAAACATTTTTTTGTTGGAACGGCTTCCGGAAGAAAAAAGAAAGACAATTCTGTCTGGATTAAACGAGTTATTGTCAAGTTATTTGTTTTATCTAATTGCTTTAAAGCGATTAGATATGGACCAATTTGAATTTCTTCGCGTAAAGAACCTATCATTAAATGGGCTATATATCGACCACAAGAGTCTGTTGTTTCATCCACAATAATGTAGAAATGGTTTCCAACGGTAATCTTACGAATTTTTTTAGGATTCTTTGCTCTGGAATTTTAAATTTACAGTGTTTTTGCAAAAATGATCGGAGATTTGGATTATTTAATCGTATTAAAGGGATATTCGAAGTCACTAAAGCTTTGCATAAATCTTCATTAAAAATAGCTTGTTCAATTCTAGACGATCCAGATTCTAAATATTGTTTCAAGAGAAGTTAACTTTGTCTGCGAGTGTCTTTAGATTTCTGCTTTGCTATATGTGAGGGTGATTTCGCGGTGTTGGTCGATTTGAAACTTTTTTTTACATGGAATCTAAAACAAATAAATTCCTGTAGATGTTGAAGTTTTAATTGACCCTTAACCCGCAATATCTAATTTTATCGGATATTAGTAATACGTGTCGCTCAGACACTGAATATGCAAAATGAATAAAAGACGACTTAGCAAAGAGAGAAATGGGTTATTTTTAATATAATAAGTGTGTAATATACAATATGCTTACAATATGTTAAATTATAAATTCTCACAACAGCTGTTACACAATTTCTTTGAGCACTGAAGACAGATCGGCTTGCTACACTGAATACATTTGAAAGCAGTAACTCTATTTAGGGAGTAGGGACACATCCCACACTTCTTCCTTTTTTCGAGTTTATCGCTTCTAGGAACTGGTGGATTGTCAGATTCCTGATTTGGCTCGTTCAAGATATTTTGAATCAGTATCTTTAGGTCTGAGCGAATATTCGGCATTTGCAATCTACGTGCCAAATGAGGACTCATAAGTTCCATTGCTAAATTTTCTACGAACTTGAAACGAGTTATGGTTGTGGGCGTATCTTTGAAGCACAATTTAAGAATAAAGCTGTTTGCTGCTGAAATATTTACCATCATATAAAACACCGCCATCGGTGGGCCATCGTCTACTTCTTCTATTTGAAGAGTAATTCGCACATTTTTGTCCATTGAATCGACCCCTCCTTTAGTAGAGTTGTAAAAACAGACGATTTCAGGTTTATTCTTTTCTTCATTGAACATTTTCTCATGATGCATACTTGAGATAAGTAAGACTGACTTATTTTGTTTAGGAACATAACTAAGTAATGTTATATTGTCACGAAATCCGTAAAGTGAAGACCCGACTTCTCGCTTTCTATTAGCTAAAAATCCTCCTGGAATTTCTCCTTTATTTTTTCTTACTGTCCCTACAAATGTGAGCTTTCTTTTCTGCAGTTCTTTGACTAGTTCAAGAGAAGAAAACCAGTTGTCCGCAGTAATATTTCTGTTACTTCCTACAACTGGTGGAATCAATCTAAGTACAGATTGTGTAGGAATCAAGGTCGTTTTTTCTTCTTTAGTTAGTCCTTTACTATCAGATCCTTTTCCTGTGTAGATATAAGCATTATAAAAATAAGATGTGCGTGCGTCGGTTAGTGTAAGTACTTTTATTCCGTATTTGTTAGGTTTTGCCGGCATATATACACGAAACTTGCACCTACCTCGAAAAGGAATGAGCATTTCATCAATGCAACAAAACTCGCCCAAACAATATAATCTTTGACAATTACTTATGAAACGTTCAAATATTTCCAAAATTGCAGCCGCTGGATCCTTTCTTCTCTTGTGTTGGGGTCATCAAAGCGAAGAGCAACTAAAAGAATCTCAAATCGTTTTTGAGACATAATAGCACGAAAAACAGGTCGTCCAGTAGGTTTTGTAGAAAACAAAGATAACATATTTTCATGATTTGATTTGTATATGGCAGTTAAAAGGAAGGCGCCTATTAGTGCTTTTATTTCTACTTTATCTGTATTCCTGTAGCTATTTTTTGTTTACCATTTACTTTATCTCTAGTTGATGTAAGTTTTACATTTGTCCAAGTAACAATTTGTTCAATAATTTGGTCATCGATCAGAAGTGACCAGATATCATCTGCCTTGGCAACAGGACCTAATGCCCTAACTTCATTTTTCATTCCAGGAACACATCTTATAATGTTATGCGCAGGCACTTTTGTTTTTGGATTTGGTTCTTTGGTACTCCATTTGAAACCCTTTTTTCCATAAAAATATTCAGGCAATTCAGGAACATCACACGTCACAGTTTCAAGGTTACTAGTGACACCTGTATCTGAAAAATTATTCGACTTTCGTCTTTGTGGCAAGGAAGAATCCTCATCGTGTGCCGAACTTTCAGAATGATACCTATCTTCATCCTCAGTAAGTTGCTCTGACTCATAATCTGACCCGACATCTGAATCATCTATTACCTGGGCCAATGTGCTTTGATCGTCTTCTTCTTCAAGTTCTTGTAGACATTGTAGTACCTTCGCCTCATAACAAGGATCATCATAATGAAAAACTTCATTTCGACGCCTTTTTGGTTTGCTATAAGCCTTTGAACATGATGGCTCGGCATCCATGTTTCTAATCTGTAAGAATAATAAACAATACTGCGGCAACTTCAAGTGAGAATATTTTTAGAATAAAGCCTAAACACTAAATACATGTAATATTTATTTATATACATAAATAGACTCACGTAAACAGGATAATCTTATATACATAATACCAGTAAACCTAACTTAGATAATACGATATTAGTAATAGGTGCTTACCAGACACGCACTTTGCCAATGCGGCATTCGTAATACGTGTATAACAGACACTGTGAGTTTTATATTCGATACTACTACGCATCAGCTTCTAAGCGGAACTAGTTGGTGACATGGTCTACACTCAACTAGATATATTTTGGGAGGATACTTAGGTGGTGGGGTCAGCGGCTTGTTGCGCAGAGGATTGGAAGCCATATCAAAAGTAGTAGGTGTCTGTGAGACACGTATTTCGAGTTAAGGGTTAAATTAAATAAATGCGTACTTTGTAAAGTTGCCCTACTTTTTTTTTAACTATTAGTTGAAATAATATTTTACTGTCGTTTGATTTACCATTGTGAAAGGTCAAAATAAAATATAAAATAAAAAACTACTTACAATTTTAGAACATGTTTTACAAAACAACTGGTTATCACCTTCTACAACAAAATCTGAATAAGATTTTACCCACGACCCATTTTTCCCACTGGTTAACACAACACAACAATAAAGACTAAAATGAAGTTGAAAGTAAACTGAGTCATTTAAAAATTTGAAGATATTAATACAACTACCTGAATGGATATTTAGCAAAATTTGTTGGTTTAAGGAGGGTGTTTATAATTTAATCCTCTTAAGTACCTACACCATTAACCGTAATTTATTACAGGGAAAAGTTATTTCTTCAAAATTTTAGGAAACCTGTAAAACCTGTAAAGGCATTTCACAAAATATTATTTTTGTCCAAAACTCATAATTTTAATATGGTTCGTTACCAAATAAAAAATTGAGTGGACTGCTTGATATTGGGAGAAATTGGTTCATGTGGCGTTTAATTAATTGTTTGTGTTGTTATATGTAAATCGTACTATTAAAATTAATCTTTCTTTGACTTACCAAGGTATAGTTCTGTTTCTTGGACAGGATAGGAAATATTCGTGCCGCCGACACAATTGCTGATAATCGCTGTGGTACCGATTCTCGCAGAACTAGTATTCGTTTTCACAGATTCGTACTGTCTGTCTGCTCTTTCCATCAAAAATATTCGAAAGCACGATTTGGGTAAAAATGATAAAAACGGAAAAGTAAAACCAGAGGCGGATCATAAGGTTTAGGAATAGGTTCATCAAAATATACTTATAAACAGTAAAGTGAAACAATTTTGACGCGAATAACCTATTTGGATACATTTAAATAAATAATAAAAATAAATAAATATTATGTAGGATCGTAACGATCCATAATATGTCTAGCCAATTAGTACGTCAGATATATGCCAAAAAATTAACAAAATGTCAATATATCGACGGTGTTTTGGTAAAAGGGCGAATAGACCAATTTTTACAAAAATGGGTTTATTGTATTTCCAGTTAAAACATTAATAACTACGCAATATAGTAAAAGGGCGAATCCATATTCCTAAAAATTATAGTTCTATTAAGAAATATAAAAAAAAAATCTACCGCGAATATGCTGTTGACTGGACGCCAAAGGGACGAATATCTTTAAAGATTGCACGAGGAGGGGACCGGCTAAGTTATTTCCTCAGTATCTGTTGAAGTGAGGGACAGAGCACACGTTTTTGGTAAGTAAAATTTTACTTTATTTGACGGTTACATAATATAAAATAAGAATTGACTTAAATTTTTGAATTTTAAACCTAAAATACGTCCTTAAAATAACAATACGTATTCGTCCATTCTTCTTAAACCAAACAAGCACTTTCGCCCTTTTGCTTTTTTGTAACTTGCTGAATAAGACAATACGTTAAAAAGTTTGTTCCGTATTCATTCTAAATAGAAATTAATTCTAATTTATTAAAAAGCTTGAATCATTTAAATATGTCAAAAAAAATGTGTTTGAAGTTTAGATATAAAAGAAAAATTTACTGTTTTAATAAAAAAATAAATTAACTATTTATTATTGTTTCAGTTACAAAATTAAAATTATGTTTAGGCGATCAAAAAAATTAGTTGAATTGGCATTGCAAGATGCCCGAGAAAATGTTAATTACGATAATTCTCATTTAAACTATGTTGATCTTGAACCTATGCCTGTACGACTCGATCAAGAAGTATTACAGAATCTTGATCTCGACATATTAGACGAACATGGGATGGTGTTACTTACAGTTCCGAATACTGATTTTTCTGAGAATGATAATGCTACGCCACTAAACGAAATATTTTCTAATGTAATTTCTACCAATGACCACAAATCTGATCATAATATTCCTGGTCCATCTAGAATACTTACTGAACATGCATCATTTGGTACAAATACAGACGATTCTGATATGGATTTTGAATGCAAAGAGACAAGTGCTTCTTTGGAATCAGAAAACAACAGTAAAATAAGTGACGTGAACGAAGGAAAAGAAAATAATGAAGGAACACAATTTGGTTTGAAGAAACAAAAAAAAATTAATAAAAGGCAAGAACGTAAAATAAAACGAAATAGAGGCGAAAAAGATTGCACATACAAAGGTACTGAGAGAAAAGAACGTGCATTAAAGCCACATACTTGCATAATGGGAAAATGTCCCAATAAATGCCGAAATTTTGATGAAAAAACACGAAATAATGTATTCAAAAGTTTTTGGAGTTTATCATATCAAGTCCAACGGGATTTTATTGCCTCCAATATTTCCATTCAAGAAGTAAAAAGAAGGAGGACTCTAAACCCGGAAAGCAGAAAGGATTTAACTAGAAGTTATCATTTACCTTTACTTAACGCAAAAGTAAAGGTATGTAGAAAGTTTTTTATGAATACTCTAGATGTAACTGATAAGCTTTTACGTTACACAGAAATTCATAGAAATGATGTTTTAATGGCTAAAGGCGATCAAAGAGGAAGGCATCCGCCTAAAAATAAAACTTCTGATAATCTGAGAACTAATGTTATTCAAATTCATAAAATATTTACCAGCGGTGCCTTCCCATTATTGTAGGAAGGAAACCTCAAAGAAATACTTACCTAGCGAATTAAAAAATATTACCAACTTATATAGGATGTATAAGACTCAATCGCAATAATTGTGTTGGCTTATCTGTTTTTAAGTACCTTTTTCGAAAAGAATTTTATATTTCTTTCCATGTACCAAAAAAAGATAAATGTTTATTATGCGAAAAATACAATCGACTCATAGGACCCCACACAGAAATTCAAACTGAAGATTTTACAGAACATATTAAAGAAAAAGAAGAGGTATTAAAAAAGTTTCAAGAAGATCAAAGCATCTCCAAACTTAACAAAAATAAAACTATATGTACATCGTTTGATTTGCAAAAAGTTCTTGGTACCCCCCATGGCCATAATTTTCTACCCGGGTTTTCAAGTAAATATGCTATATATAACTTGACATTTTATGAAAGCGGTACCCGAAATGTTGAATGCTTTTTGTGGGAAGAAGCTGATGAAAAGAAAGGGGCTAACGAAATATGCACAATAGTTGTACGGTACCTAGAAAGTGTCGATGAGAGGAGTGAAGTGAAAAATATTCTATTATACTGCGTCAATTGTGCTGGACAGAATAAAAACCATCAAATGATTTGTGCTGTTAACTGGTTTTTAAAGAAATCTAAAAATATCCAGAAGGTGGTGCCTAACTTTTTACTTCCTGGTCACAGTTATATGCCAGTTGACTCTGTTCATGCAACAATTGAAAACTGCATAAAAAATAAGACCATCTGGGCCTCTTCTGAATGGCCGACTATAATTCGTAATGCCAGAGTAAAATATTCCCCTTATAATGTATACACTCTAACATTCAAAGACTTTTTAGATTGGAAAACATTACAGAGTAAAACATGTTTAACTAATTTAAAAACTGAGGATGGTTCGATCATCAGGTTGAGAGATCCGAGGCAAATTATTTTTTTAAAAACAGAACCCGACGTTATAAATGTCTCCAATAATTTTGCAAATAATAACGAACTTCTTAGAACAGTTATAAGAAAAACAGGACGAAATCCTGTTCAAAATAATTATAGTCTGGATAGAGCATATAAAACAAGATTGCCTATATCGACAGAAAAACATCAAAGCTTAAGAAATCTATGCACAAAAGAAGTAATTCCAATTACATACCACGTTGAGTATTTAACTCTTCCTTCAAAACCGAATATACCCAACTGTCTAATGGAAACAGATGAAGAAGATGAAGTAAGTATACTAAATGGACATGTTTATTTACGGTTACTGCATTATTTTTGTTTTTTCAGCTCCAGGACGAAGACTGATTGATTGATTAAAAAGGACAAAGGATTTAAATCACTTTTATTTTCTTACATTTTTTTTTTTTTTTTTTAATCATACTTTTGTTTTTTTTTTAATTTTTACTAATGTTTCATGATATTATTTTTTACCAAATTGGATAAAGTATAGTATTTTAGTTAAAACTAGTTTTTTATTATTTATCACGCTATGGTACTTTGTAAAAACGTGCAAAGCAAAAGGACGAAAGTTTAAATTCAAGTAAGTAAATAGACGAATAAAGGGACGAATTCTTCCGTTATTAAAAAGTTAAGTGATCAAAAGGGCGAATATCTTTATTTTATCAATTATTTATAAAATAAAATATTATATTGGAAAAAACACTATTAAAAATCACTGTAGTAATATCTAAAAAAGAGCAGCCACGGTTTAAATTAAAATGTATTAGTCAAAATGATAGTTACAGTTTTTCAATCCTCCTGTAAAATTAGTATAATGGCGTATTCGCCCTTTTACCGAAACACCGTCGATATGCGTTCAAAATCAAAAATTGTTTATATATGCAACATATGCAAAATATGGCGTTTTGCATATATTCCTAGCTCTAAAAATGAGAATAATAAAATAAGCATATGACAACAGCGGATATATAGCCTCATGTGTCCCTTAGAATGTCTTATTCAGGTTCGCACGATATTTGTTAGGAGTTACATCTCCTGTTATCTCTGACTTCTACGTATGTTACCATATCCTAATATCATTAAAATCTCAATTCATTCTTTCTCAGATAAACGATCCATTGTGGCTGTTTCATCGATGTTTTTAATCTTTTACTATATTCGATAGGAACGTTCTTATTAACTATTTTATTAATATTTAAATTAATACACCTCCACATCAACATTTAAGGTGACAAAAAATTTTAGACCATGTAAAGATAATGCAAACTGTAAATATAAACATTTATATTAAAAAACTCTTTTCAATAAAATATTTTATCGAGTAATTATCTTAATTCTATTAACAGAGGAAGTGCAAATCGCAATTTATTCAACATTAATTCTAATCCATACCTAAATACTAACAGTTTATAATAATTAGGTACGTTATATGGCTTCCGCACCAATTAATCACATCATCGGCGAAGATAAAATTCTCAAAAATGATTATGTTAATTTTTAAATTGAAAATATTAGTACTTTTGATTCGAAAATTAATTTAGCTCACGACCTGTCCAATCTAAATTGATATTTCTAATTCTGTTTATTACATATTAGTCAGTATCAAAAAAGAACAAACAGGAAGTTTTGGTAAATAATGGTTACCTTCTAATTATATATAAAAAGAAATAATGGTTACCACTTAGGTTAATAATATTTCAAATTACGAAAGTCAGGTTTTGCAAAAACAAAAATAATATAACTATTTAATACATACCGATAAATTTAATTAACACTCTCTTCTCTATACAAAATAAATGTAGGAAGGAGTGTATCAGGGCACAGCATGTCAGGTGGTAATACTTTGTATACAGTTTTCAGAAAACTTAGCCATATATTCCACCGAGTTTGGCCAAATATTGGGTATTATAAGCCGACACTCGAACGGCGGATATAACTATTGAAATGTTATAAAGAGTTTCTAAACACTTTGAAACATACTATACATAACAATTTTGGGTCCGCTAACACTTATTTACAAACAAATTTTTACCTTAAAATCCTTAAAATGCTTAAATCCTTACAAGAAGTCGTTCCTTCATTTTGTTATTGTATATTTTCTTATTATTAGATGCCCACGATACAAGACACGTTCGTTAAAAGTTGTGATCGAGGTTCACTGGCCAAATGCTAATGAGGGTTGTTTAGGTTAGGTTAGGTTAGGTTAGGTTAGGTTAGGTTAGGTTAGGTTAGGTTAGGTTAGGTTAGGTTAGGTTAGGTTAGGTTAGGTTAGGTTAGGTTAGGTTAGGTTAGGTTAGGTTAGGTTAGGTTAGGTTAGGTTAGGTTAGGTTAGGTTAGGTTAGGTTAGGTTAGGTTAGGTTAGGTTAGGTTAGGTTAGGTTAGGTTAGGTTAGGTTAGGTTAGGTTAGGTTAGGTTAGGTTAGGTTAGGTTAGGTTAGGTTAGGTTAGGTTAGGTTAGGTTAGGTTAGGTTAGGTTAGGTTAGGTTAGGTTAGGTTAGGTTAGGTTAGGTTAGGTTAGGTTAGGTTAGGTTAGGTTAGGTTAGGTTAGGTTAGGTTAGGTTAGGTTAGGTTAGGTTAGGTTAGGTTAGGTTAGGTTAGGTTCGTTAAAAGTTAAGATCGAGGTTTACTAGATAGACGCTAATGAGGGTTGGTTAAATTAGATTTTTTTTCAATTTGAGCTGTGACCAGGCCGTTGGAGTCTATGCTGGTTGGCGTAGCCAGGTATCGGTTAAAATTTACAAGAAATCGTTGCTTCATCTTCTTATTGTATATTGTTAGTTTAGGTTAGGTTAGGTACTCTGCCGATGAGGGTGAGGAAGAAGATCTTGATATGGGTATTTTTTAAATCGTTAGTTTTATGTAATTTTTCTGATACTGAAGTCAATTGGTTGGCCTGGTACAACGCAGGGCATAGGTAAAAATTACCATTGCTATGTAATAGATAATTGATATGGTAACATTGTATTTCTTTTAGACATATGTCACACTGCAAATCTTAATTGTCATGTCTTTACGAAAATTAAAAAATTCTGACGAACCTAAACATAGGTTTAAATTAAAAAAATAAACTGTTTACGAAAAAATTTGTTTGGTTTATTGCATTATGAATGGTCTAGTGTTATTATTTAGCAGTTTCTATAACTAGAAATTAATCAAAATGATGTATTTCAAATTTTTTCAACATCGAAATTGGAGGACACATTTTAATAGTTTTAAGGTAAGAAAAAATATTTTATAGCGTTTGCAGGACAAAAAAAGTATTTTAAAATGTGTTTCAGAATGTCTAAAATCGTTAAAAAAAAAAGAAAAGCCCGTTCGACCGTCGGCGGATTTTTACAAATATTGTTTCGCTGGTTTTAAGTAAATTCAATTTATTTCCAAACCTAAACTATGAACATCATCGTACAATGTCTATCTGCCTGCCTTGTGACTTTAAGATCATCGACTTATATAGCTTCCTTGAAACTTCTCGAATCTTCCAGATGGTTCTTAATACGAAATGACATTTTTAGACATTTCTAGACGTTCTCTCTTCTTTTTCTATTCGTACTTTTACTTATGATAACCGCAGCACACTGTAGGTGATGGGTGACATTGCACTTCTTCTTTTATTCGTACGTGTCCTATACTATCCGTAGGCTACTGCAGAGGGCACGATAACATTGCTTCCGCCTCTTTAATTATTCGTCCCGAACAACTTGATTACTGGGACTTGGTCGGAGCCAATGGGGAGGATCTAGACCATGGTACGGCGCTAACTTTTTAATGTGAAATACTTTGGGTTTACTTCCCGCTGACAACTAAATGTGCTAAATCATGTCGTTCATTTTCTTGAGGGCGGTGTAGGGGCTTTCCCAGTTCCGTTGTCGTTTCTGACAAAGTCCTTTTCGGCGCTTGGTTTTTGTTTTATCGCTGTTGACTTTTAAAAGTTCTCGAGCGAATCCTTAAACCTTTTCTAATTTTTCTCTTAAGTTATGTATGTATATGAGAGGTGTATGGCCCTCTTCTTCAGTAGGAGGCTGTCTTCTAAAAAGAAGATTGTAGGGAGGTTTCATCTCCCTTTCAGGTATTCAACATTAAAATGGGATATAACTGGTCGATTTATCTTCAAAACTTTGCTAGGCTAACAGAAATAGAGGAATTAAAGTATCCCAGACAAATTGTTCTGTGGTGTCTCTTTACCTTTTCGCCGGATTGTGGGTGGAGAGGCGTAGTGCGTGTTTTCCTAACACCTAACATTTTCGTCAATTCTTGCCAATATTTGGATTTAAAATGTCGTCCTTGGTCAGAATTAAATTTCATAGAGACTCTATATCTCGCTATAACGTTCATCATGAATGCTTCCGCTAAAATTGTCGTCTCCTGATTAGGAATAGGCACTATTTCGAGCCACTTTAAAAAATAGTCCATCAAGTATTTATTTCTCCCCTCTCTGTTAAAGGAAGTGGCCGACGATATCTACGGCAATTCGTAAAGGTACTATGCTATTTTACCTTGGCTTCTTGTTTTAGGCCCTTTTCTGTCATTATATAAATCACATTTCTTACAGCAATCTTCCACATCACGTCAGTAATTGACCCAATAAAATCTGCTATGTTATAATTTCGGCAGTACCAATTGGCGGACTACATGTACTCCATCGGGGTCTCCCACTTCCGGTGAAATAGGTCATCGTGAAGATACAGGGAATCCCGCGGAGTCCAGTACGCTTTAATAGGTTTACTATATTTGGCTATCTTTCAAGCCATTCTCCGACAACTTCCAACTGCGTTGCTATTGAGACGGCCTCTTCGATGCACCATCTCGAAGTTATATTATTGCAGTCTTTCTATGCCTCTAGCAACTTGCCCCTCAACTTTTTTAACATTCATTAGCCACTGCAAGGTACTTTGGTCACTTCTAATGATAAAAGTTCAGTTAAAAGGTAAGTTTCGAAGTTTTCAAGGGCTTTAACAACAGCTAAAAGTTTTTTCTTAGTAACGCAATATTTCTCAGCTTTTCCTAAGGTCTTACTAAAATACACAATTACTTTATCTTTTATCCTTCTGTTCTTGTGATAGTTCGGCGCCCACGCCGTGTTGAGAGTACAAAATAAATATTCCTGTTTCCCGAGGGTAGGCTAGGATGGGTGCCGCTTTGTCCACTCGGTGAAGGCATTTTGGCAATCCGGCGTCCAGTCAAATAGACTACTGTTTTTAGTCAGTCAATGAGTGGTTTTAGCAATTCGGCCAATGACGAATTTTCGGTAATATAAGTACAGTTCAACAAAACTACTAAGTTCCCTTTTATCTCTTGGTTTCGGCCAATCTCTAATAGCTACAATTTTCTCCGGATCAGTTTTGAATCCTTATGCCAAAACGATGTGTCG